ATTTGGAAAGAAAGGTAAAGCAGACAGTTTAATGTAGATTAGTTAGTGATGAAAAACGTCTTAGAATTCTAAACTAGTATTCACCACGGACATTCATCAGTTACTGAAATCTCGGAGCACTGTACAGCCGTTTCATCCTAGTAGGACACCTGTCAACAGTCCACACCTACGACCCTACCAAGGGTCGAACCCATAGTCTTCGGTTTTCACAGCAAGCACATTACCTTTGAGCCACTGGATCGCAATCCATTGATTCACAGTTTCCCAATTCTGTTAATGTGTGATGTAGTAAGATCGATGAATACTTGTCCTCACTTGATAAAACATTTTGTTGCTTCGTAATAGCCTTTAATGAATGGAAAGAGAGATCTAATCATATTTCAAACAGTATAACACAGTTCTATTCTACGCCATGACCTCCACCAATCAGGTGGATCAAATCATCAGTACGTGAAATGCTATAACTAGACTCGACATGGAAGTATTGGCAGTCTGAAGAAGAAGCACTCAAGCTTAGTAGCGGCTTTGAAATGAACTTTGTTTTTATTTAACATACCAACAATTCATTGCAACTCAATAACCCAAGGATAATCATTAATGTCTCAACAGATGTCGGATCCCTAGAAGGATTTACTTATATGGGATTAGCACTGTGCAATATATAAAATAATCTAGGGGAAAGTCTTGATGACCTCTACTCCATGCTGGATTGTTAGTGTTCATTATTTTCTACTCAGTTCAAATGCAGAGAAATTCCGTTTATGGATCTATAAAAGGTCTTGGTGAACTACTTACCACAAGAAGAGATTTAAATTGACAGTAAGACAGAGCTGTCGTATGTTCTGCAATTCAGGCTGAATGTACTACTTCCTTACATTGATCTGTCACTGGAAAGGAACCCATTTCCTGTTGTCTAGATGTGATTGCTAAACGAATTCTGTTTATCATTTCGGAATGTGGCGCCACCAAGCTAAGAAGGTCACAAGCATGGTGTACTTTGATCGATGTTAATTCGTTAGAAACAGTCGGCAGTGAATCCCAGTTGACCCGGATTTTGTGGTTGTCAGTATACGTCGGCAAGGCATATCTGCGACCTCGAAGGAATCGACGTCCCCTGAGAGATGCGAACCAGCAGCACCCAAAGTTGCAGTCAGAGACAATATCACTAAAATATTCGAGAAGTGACTGACCTCCTGTAGGACTGAATTGGTTACACTGATAAGTCACTGAAGAGCAAGCGATTTCATGTTGTCTGGTCCCGATTAATACCTTAAAAGAAGTCAGTTGCCACTCAAACAACTCAGTGATAACGTCAATGATTGCCAACATTTCGTGACGCAGTTTCCAGTCTTATCGGGGACATCGGTTCATTTCGAGGTTACAGATACACTTTACTGGCCAGTGGAAATAAACATGAGCCCTTGGTGAGGCACGATTTCTTGCCAACTGCTTCCAGTCAACTAACTTGCGTACTACTTCCTTTCCTTACTCTGAAGCTTTAGATAGGCATAAATTTCTTCATAGTAGCCAAAAAACTGGCACTGGTTAAACCTACTCACGATGGTGGATAATAAGATGGGAAGTATGAGAAGGCTTTCACTTAAGTTTTGTGCATTTTAGCACTGATCAACAGGGTGCATTTACAAACTCTAGTGCACACTTACCCAATCACAAGTTTTAATCCCACATAACTCAGGTTCGCAGCAGGACTACGTAATTCAGATAGTCCGTTGCATAGTGATTAAGGTCATGCTGCTTAGTTTTCAGTGCTGATAAAATTCTATCAACTAAGTGAGAAATCTATATCGACACCTTATTTGGCATTAGAAACTTCATGGTAGTTTATGTGTAGTACAGAATTAAGATTTTGTGCTTTCTCTGTATCGTTTTAACTTTGAGGTACTTCCTGTCAGCTACCTATATCATATGGAGAACTAGTGAGCATTGAACAGCTCAGCTGTGGGAACTAAAATCATCTTTAGAAGACAAACGCATATACACATGTGCTGATAGGAAGCCCGTTACCAGTTAGCCACTGAGCTACAAGTTGATTGTTTACATTTCTGTTTCTTCTTCTGATTCGCCATGTAGCGTCAGCAGCATTCAACATGATCACCAGACTGCCATCATCAATAACTTCAACCACTCTGGCCTCAAATTAGAACTTTTGATGACCCGTCCCAATCTGAGTCAATAAGGAGCATAGTATTGTTGTTCGACTGATTGGTTTGAATTCCTCAACTGCCAAACTAGTTCGATACACTTTAAATGACGTAGTTTCATTTAAAGAAGAACCAAAGAAGTACTTCGGAGTCCATACCTCCATATTAATCTTAAACCCAAACCATCTAAGGCTGCGGATAGGAAAGTCTATACCAGGTTGTTTATTCCTCATTGAATCATATAAGTTTGAAGCCTATGGCAAACAGAATTACTTCCTAAGAATTTATCCTGGGATAGTCATTGGAACGAAACGCTCCCTATTAGTGAGATGGATGTATGAAAATCGTAATGATACGATGTATAAGAAGCGTAGATGAAATCTGTTAACACTTGAATAAGACAACTAACGGGATAACTCAGTTTTGCCAGAAGAATTCTGAGATTTCTTTTATTTCACATTGCATAGCACTTATACAACCTATGTAAGAATTATTTTATTCACTTGGAGACAACTTTGATAAGAGCTACTTCTTTTGAACTGCTACCTGAGAGGCAATGACTGAAGGTAACCAGAAGATGTGAATTGTGGTAGAATTTGAATTGGTGACCAAAATATTACTGTCCTGAGACTCTATCAACTCATCTACTAGGCCAGGTGGTAAAGGAAGCTTTTACACACCTATCATATATGAATGTGTTATACCTCTCTTCAAACTGTTTCAGTCCTTTATCCTGAAGCAGTTTTGCTCGACGGTGTAGTTGAACATCTGATCTATGAGAATAAGGAAAAAGCCAATTCAATTTCTTCCCCCCCCTCGCCCAATTCAATTGATAATTTTAAATTCTAGGACTCCAAAAGTTCAGTATCATGATGTATCTTATGAGTCAGATTTCTAAAGGTCATTTGTTTTTTAAATACTGCATTTTCGCCTTACACCTAAATAACTCTCTCTTTGAACTCCAAATGCTTATTATAACTTTATTATTATTATTATTATTATTAGTCCCTTGGGTTCCCAATGGAACATAGGGCTTCAGTAGCAAGTCTCCAGTAAACTCTGTTCTCTGAAATCTTTTAAACCTGGCTCCACGACAGCCCACAAGCTCTCATTCCCTCCTCGTACGACCTCCTCCATGTCACCCTCGTCTGAGACGCCCAACTCGTCGCTTCCCATCGGGGTTCCACTCGAGTGCCTGGCCTGACGCGTGATGTCCCCAGTCAGCCTTCTCAGTGTATGCCCAAACCAATCCATCTCCACTTACTTCTGCATATTTGTCCTTGCTTGGTTCATTGCCAGCTAACCAGAGTTCCCTGTGGATTATTCTTTCTGGTCATCTGATCTTCAGTAACAAGCCAGCGCAGGCAGTTGTTGATGAATGTCTGTAGTTTATTGGAAATCTCTTTCGTAACGCGCCAAGTCTCTGAACCATACAGGAGCACCGACTTGACGTTAGTGTTGAAAATCCGGATGTTGTTCACGCTTTATGCTGAGTGCAGTGCAGAGGATCTCCACACTGGTTTCAGGCTAATGAACGCCTGTCTTGCTTTTCCGATTTTGGCTGGCTTTGACATCCTCGTCTGTGCCGCCGCCTGTAGTTGAAACGATGCTGCCTAGGTAGGTAGGTGAAAGAGGCTACTTCCTTGAAGTTTCTCCCGTTGATGGTGTTTGGAGTTTGTTGTTGGTGCGGTATCTTCATCACTTCTGTCTTCTCGATATTCACCTGAAGTCCCGTCTTCGCTGCCCTGCCTTGCCCTGCCTCTTCTGTCAACTAGTTAGTTTTCGCCTGTAGATCTTCAAGTTTGTGAGACATCAGGCACAAGTCATCGGCGAAATCCAGATCTTCTAGGTTCTTTTCCGCAGTCCAACGTATTTATGTTTTGCCCACAAATAGCTTAAAATTAATGAAGATATTTAGAATGTACTACTGATAAGAAAATTATTAGGTTGGCTTCAGTTGAGTATTTTTATCAGCGAAAATGGTACCTTTTCTTGTAGTAACGTGTCTATCAGTAATTATTGAACAGCAGCTTAAATTTGTTGACTAACTTTACAACATTACTCATTCATAGTTCATCTTGATGTCGAAAATTTTATCTCCAAAATTCTCTTAGAGTCCATGAACCTTCAGATCAAGAAAACCATCCAAATAGTTGATATTTTCATCCAGTCAATTTTTACCATGACGTTAGATTATTGAGTGCAATAGAGATGATTTACCTCTGCTCTCGTTCAAGAGTAGATCATGTAATGAGGTGTGATGGTCGTTGAATATCACGGACTCACTATAGCTTCTAGAATAGTATCAACTCTCATATGGTTGTAAGCAGTTAAAAGAAGGTTCCAAACATCAGTTTCGTCACCCCTCGATACTTATCAAACCAGTCAACTCACAACTTTGAGAATACAAGTGCCAATTCATAAGTTCGAACCAAATTTATACAATAATAATGCTGCTGAAGGATTGTCAGACAACCTTCGTGTCTGTCAGTAGCTTGAATGACGTACTGCATTAGTTAAGTGTATACTGTTGTCTTACTTAACTACATAGCATATTTTGCTTGTTGTTGGTTGACCTGAATTTCGTGCCTTTTTGGTCCTCACTAGAATGACTTGTACGCAGTTTTGAAGGGACTAGCAAGAATAGATCTTAGACTTATCTCATATCGTCAGGTCACAGAATCTTGTCAAAAACTGTACACAGGATTGTCTACTATAACTGATTCAAATTGAAACTCAATATACAAAAATTCATCAGAAAATCAAAGTGTTTCTCGTAGTATTTTCATACACTATACGTTAACATTTAAGTCAGTAAATCAAGAAATTACAACTTACCACATCTTGGCACATCACAATACTTAAATCTTCCTAGACCAACAACACACCATGGACCAGTAGAATCATTTCCCGGATTACGACAATAATTTTTATTCTTTTCGCTTCTTCATCTGACCAGTAGGGTTTATAAAATGATTTATGATCTATCCAATCTAAGCATTCTGTCCCATCGAAGGCGATATTCACTTTGCCACGATAATTTGTTGACCGACATTTCATTGGATCATATGTATGTAATTCATTCAAGTCTGTTCGATCGATTGTTTGAATGAATATAGGAAATAAAAGGAAGCAGAGAAAACTGAACAAGGAAGAGGAATAACAATAGTTATAGGAGAATTGTCCACCTCCTCCTATCATATTTATGCTTATCGGTAGGCGTAAGGAGACTCCTTTCTACAGATTGTGGTTATGGTGTATAGTAATCCTTCGTATTCCTAAATTAGACTATCAGGCATGCGATATATGCCTATATATCTTTAGACACTAATTTATAAACACATACAGCTGTCCATATGTATTTATATGCAGATAGGTAAATATACACACAAGAAGATGATATAAGCTAGCCAAATGGGGACATGTATACACTCAGGCGCATATTATTTGTCTCTTAATTCCATCTAAACTGATTTATAGTAAAGCTAATACATGAATATTTAAAATATCGCTCACATCCGGTTTCATCATTCAAGTAGGCTGTAGGTTAGATAAATATAGTATTTAGTGGTAAACAGTTAATTCACAATGATGTGAATCACTTTGTAAGGTTTTATATTTACAAATGTGTCTGTGTATGTGTTCAACACTTTTTTTTTCAAATTAAAATGAATTTGACTAGTCATTTAGTGAATACTATCATTACTACTTTTAATACTGTCACAAGTAGTACACTGTCAGTGAGATTTATTCAGTGTAAATTTTCAATCATTTTTGTAATTCAATTAAAAACTATTAGAAATGATTGATAGGAGACTGGTACAGTCTGTAGTCTGGGTAAACTGTCATATGATGAAAAACAGTGTTAGACACAGTGTTCAAAGTATGCAAAGTCTACTGGAAGGGTATTTAAATGAAAATGTGGGCTTAAAATTATTTTTAAGGTAGTATTCATCATAGAAAATGACATGACTTGGAGAATCATTGAAAACCTGAGCACTCTAGGCATCTATTTTGTCGTACCTTGGGAATTTTCAGAGGTACGCATCTACAACCCCACTTAAGATCAAAATTAGGACCATCGGGTTTCATAACGAAAGCATTAACCACCCACAGTTTCCCACTTCTGTCAATACCAAATGATGGCATTCTTTGAGACTGTTAATCCCTTTGCTATCTTGTTTTCATTTAACCCACGTAGCGTTAACTTTGTAGCCCTTTTTTATGTCTTTGGTTTCATACTAATTATTATTATTGATTAGCATAATTCACTTTTTCCTGTAATGTTACCTCATCCTCAACTTGACTGTTAATTCTGTCCAGTCAGATCATGTTCACCAGTTAATACCTGTAGACAATGTTTCCTTTCTTGGTTCATGTAAATGTTGGTATCCCTCTCGTTGTCCCCCGATGTTCTATGTTACCCTATACGCTGGCTGGACCGATGAAAATACCCTAGGAGAAGATTTGAATTTCGCCGATGATGGTTTATGTCTAATATCACACAGACTGGAATATCAACAGGCAAAAACTAACAAGTTGGCAGAAAAGGCGGGGCAGCGAAGACAGGACTTGAAGTGAACGTAAAGAAGGCAGAGGTGATGAAGATATCCAACCAACAACAACAACAACAACAACAAGCACCAATTACCATCAATGGGAGAAATCTGAACGAAGTTGTCTCCTCCACCTACCTAGACAGCCAACATCATTCCAACTACAGGTGGAGGTGGCACAGATGAAGATGTCAAAGCCACGATCCGAAGGACAACAAGACAGACCTTCATTAATCTGAAATAATCAGTGTGGAGATCTACTGCACTCCACCCCACCCCACTCAGCATAAAGCGTGAACAACATCCTGATTTTCAACACTAATGTCAGTCAAGTAAGGCAGTGCTTCTATGTGATGGTTGAGAGACTTGGTGGCGTGTTACGAATAGCATCTGCAAGAAACTGCAGACATACATCATCAATAGCTGCCTCTTACACTCACTCCATACTGGAGATGGAGGTTGGATGACATGAACGATAAGAATAAGCACCAAGGAACTCTGTCCTAGCAACGAACCAACTAAGAACCCATCGCCCAACAAATATGCAATAGAAGGAAGTGGGGATGGATTGGACATACACTGAGAAAACCATTCGGGGACATGACGCACCAGACCAGGTCCTCGAGTGGAAGTCAAATAGGAAACGACAAGTTAGGTGTGGAAGGCGAGAATGACATGGAGGAGATTGTGTGAGGAAGAAATGAAAGAAAGTTTGTGGGCAGTGGTGGAGCTAGGTGTTAGAAGACTGTAGAGAAGAGAATGAAATGGCGACATGCTACTGAAGCCGTATGTTCCACGTTTGCAGTTACAGGTCCTTCCAGAAAGACATACCTGATTGATTTCACTTTTTCAATCATTTTAACATTCACTTGTATAATCACCTGTCGTTTCTCGAAACTTCAGGGCAAAATGATTGGCTGTGAGAGACTTAAGGGATTTACGGCTTCCCCTGAAAGATCCTGGACAATCTAGTTGCACATCATGGCCTAATGAATAGTTTTTTACTTCAAATGACACTGCTATTTCATACAGTTTATATCAGATGGACGTGATCTGAATGCATAAGTAATCAGTATACAAATATAACTAAACACTTAAGGTTTTATGATGACAGTTCATCTGTTGAAAAAGCAGAATTTAGAAATCATAATCACTCCAAGACGTGTCCTTCTTTCCATTGAGAACTCGTTAGCTGGATGTGCGTGCATTTCCGTCCTCTATTCGACTGCTAGCCAATATCCACTTTCAAACTGAAAATATAGGCAATATCGAGGTATCCGTACAGAAGCCAACATGTCAATAGAGACGGATAAGTTCAATTCAGTCAGAGATGAGTAATTACAAACAGTAACATAAACATTTTACCTGTCGTAAAAGGAGTACCTGTCATGGTCTATTGGATAACATTCTAGTGTTTGGAGCGATGGGTACTGTGTCCGACTCCCATCAGCGACACCATCACTCACTGAGATCCTGGTATATCTAACTAATGAGTCCCCAATAGGACAAAACTAGTGTCCTAGACTTCACTGCTAGTCACTGTCGAGGATTACTGTTGGAATTATGTAGTGTCTAAAATAGTAATGAGAAGGAAGTTTGTCAAGACTGAAATGACATTAGACTATTAAGTTGGATGATACAGAATAGATAAAGAATTGATGAAAGTGATGAGAAATAAGGTTGGAGGAATGTGATCTTCCAGAAGATATAGTGTATTGTCAGTGGAATGATAAGAACATCTAAAGGGTGAAGTTTTCTTACAGGTCGTGTCTATTGTAAATCATGTGATTGGACAAACTTCTTCCTTAATATGATTGTAGTGAATGAGTTGTGCTCGAAACGTTATCCAGTAATTAATATGCCACATCATATGTCAAATAGCCTTAGTTGATATCGAATTATACTCTACTTCATCGACTTTGAAAAGGCCTTTGACAGCGTCGACTGACAAGTAATTTGGAAACTGTTTCAACACTACGGAATACCGCAAACCTTTATCCGCCTCATTCAACAACTATATGAAGATACCACATGCCAGCCAAGTAATTCACAATGGGAAGCTCAGCTCAGTGATGCTTTTGAAGTGAAGACAGGAGTAAAACAAGGCTGTCTACTATCAACCATGACATTCCTGATTGTGGTCGACTGGATCATGCCACAAACAGTGAGGAGCGAGGAGAAGAAAACACGCTGTTTGACACGGGAAAAAACCTAGAAGATCTGGATTTCGCCGATGACTTGTGCCTGATGTCACACAAACTTGAAGATCTACAGGCGAAAACTAACTAGTTGACAGAAGAGGCAGGGCAGGGCAGGGCAGCGAAGACGGGACTTCAGGTGAATATAGAGAAGACAGAAGTGATGAAGATACCGCACCAACAACTCCAACAAAAACAACAAACTCCAGTCATCATCAACAGGAGGAACTTAAAGAAAGTAACCTCCTTCACCTATCTAGGAAGCACTGTTTCAACTACAGGCGGCGGCACAGACGAGGATGTCAAAGCCAGCCGAAATCGGAAAAGCAAGACAGGCGTTCATTAGCCTGAAACCAGTGTGGAGATCCTCTGCACTGCACTCAGCATAAAGCGTGAACAACATCCGGATTTTCAACACTAACGTCAAGTCGGTGCTCCTGTATGGTTCAGAGACTTGGCGCGTTACGAAAGAGATTTCCAATAAACTACAGACATTCATCAACAACTGCCTGCGCTGGCTTGTTACTGAAGATCAGATGACCAGAAAGAATAATCCACAGGGAACTCTGGTTAGCTGGCAATGAACCAAGCAAGGACAAATATGCAGAAGTAAGTGGAGATGGATTGGTTTGGGCATACACTGAGAAGGCTGACTGGGGACATCACGCGTCAGGCCAGGTACTTGAGTGGAACCCGCCTGGGAACGACGAGTTGGGTGTCTCAGGCGAGGGTGACATGGAGGAGATGGTGCGAGGAGGAAATGAGAGCTTGTGGACTGTCATGGAGCCAGGTTGAAAAGATTTCAGAGAACAGAGTTCACTGGAGACGTGCTTTCGAAGCCCAATGTTCCATTGGGAACCCAAGAGACAAATAATATAATAATAATAATATACTCTACCTCACTGCCCGAGTTCTGTTTGTACATAAAAAATAATTATTTAAAACTGGAAAGGGTTGCAGAAGGAACAGCATAAACGTTGAAAGTGGTTTGAGGGAGGTGGTGAGAGTTTTGAAGTGTAAGGTCATTCATTACCAGGTTGGTAAAAGAATGACTACGTTTTCTTTTCGAGTACACAAGTTAAGTTACATTCACTTGATAACTTGATGGCATCAGCTTATCTCGTTGTATTTTTTCTATCTGTTTGTGACTGTGAATACTTTTTACTTGCTAATAACATCACCTGCCTA